ATGTCATAACAGAGCCCCAAATTTTTGAAATCACATATTTTAATTGACTCCTAGAAATAGCTTTAATTATTCAATTTTTCTTAAAGAATTGGTTTTCCATAATTTATTTGTAAGCCATGATTTAAAAAATAATTGTGCTGAAAGTTAGGGGGAAAGTAAATAGAAGAAAAGTTTAGAATTGTTTTATCCTTTCTGACCTTGAAATAGAAAGTGAAGGAGAGCAGAGACACTATACTTAAAGATGTACCAAAATTCATAAAGTTTTTACCATGGTGAGTCTTTCCTATCTACGTTCTTTGTTATGAAGGTATAAAGTATCATAGGTTGAAGCTCACTTTGTTCGATTGTATTTAGCCGAAGGTCATGTCTAGTTTTTGAGATTAAAATAGGGGAAAACTAATCTCGGTGTGAGGAAAATGGCAGTGAGCGTTTTAAATTTTGAAAGAGAAGATTCCACACTAATCTCCTAATCGGCATCTTTTCTTTGCCACAAGGGTAAATTATACTACTACTTTCTACATCACTGTCTAATAGGAAATATAAGGCTGAAAATAAATATATTTCATGACCACTTAAATTCAACATGTAGATTTATGCATAGTGACATGTAAATTACAGAGCTCAATATATCTTTAAAAATATAATTATAATGTATTATGTTTTAGTCTAGCAATAAGAAGCAAACATGTATAGATTTTGTTGACATACGGTACACTAAATTTCTATCCCGGGGGCATACTTAACATACTTAAGGGCTGTTCTTTCTGGATAAATTTTTTTCCTGACCCTTTGCTTGGCTATAGATACATTATTGGGATTGTAGACAACCAGATATAGAATGGATTTTAAGTGAATTCTTTCTTTTTCCCATTCAGTTTTCCCTTAGACTCCTATTCACATGTGAGGACTCAGTTTAAATTGTACTTTCTCATTACATCTTCCTTGACCAACACAATCTAAATAAGTACTTCTAAACTCATTACTATACTGTCATACTAATTCCAGAGAACTTTTCAACTAATTCCAAGTCCTTGCTACAAACACCATCATCTGGCCATTGGCTACAAAGGTCACACAGCCCATTTCCTACCGACTTCCTCAGTGTCCCCAAGACGCCCACGTGAAGGCCCTTAGCTGAAGACATTTCCCCTGACAACTGTATTTGCTTCTTCAACTCTTTCATGCCTACTCAAAGGTAACCAACTTAAGAAGCCTGACTTGAGTTGCCTGACTATCACAGCTATTCTCCTTGATCCAGTCTTATTTTTTCTCACCACTAATTGGAGTCATATAGGTATGCATTTGGTGAGTGTGTGATCTCATTAGCATGTAAATTCTATTAGACCTTATTCATTCTATTCATTAGTACTGCCACACTACTTAAAACAATGCTTATCTAAGGTTGGAACTAGATATTTATTGAATTATCCCTACTGATTATCTCTTCCATCCCCCACCCACAGTAGATATGAGGTCCATAAAAGCAACTTTCATTCTGGTATTTCCATTGCATTTTGTGTATAAGAGAAGATGAATGAATACTGATTGAATGAATAAAATGTGTTTATATGTGTAATCCTCTTTCTCCAATTTTTCTCTAATTACCATAAGGACTGGAATTACATGCATTTCATTCATCAATGTATACCAGTTACACTAATTTTTAGTTGGCACTCAGAAACTAAGTGAAGAACCTTAAGAACTGACACCAGAGAATATAGGAACTCAAGTGTGCCATAGTCACCCAGAGGTTACCACAGTTTTAAATCCAAGATTTAACATCAGCGGGAAAATATTTATTAAATATACAAAGTAGTGAAAACCTAAGGTGACCCTGTCATCCTTTCATATTCTAGCCTGGTTCTGACAATCCCCTGGTTTCCTGGACAACCCCAAGAAACTAGCATAGATATTTGCGATTTCGACTTTTTGTCAGTTTTGAATTCTGAGAGATAGGAACACCCTAACTTCAATCCACAGCTTCGATCTGTTTGCTGAAAATCCTGCCCTGATAGTTTCAGGTGAATCACTTTATGGTGCCTATGGGTGTCAAACAGGAATTGGCTGGTAATAAAATTACTGCCATTAATTAATAGATCAACCTTGAAGAACCAGCAGTGTCAAATCACGGGTTTTCTATCCAGGTTTGCTGTGATGCACTTCGGAAAGCTCTTCTTTCCTTCCTTTCTCCTAGTTTTCCCACTTACCACCATCTCCCCTAGTGAATAATCATAGCACAGGTGAGATTTCTGCTAAGAGTTCATCACACATGGATGGATAGAAGATGGAAAGGGGAAAGAAAACACTATGAATCAATCATTGGCCTAAGATCTCCTTGACATTCTTTCCAGGTCCAAAGGTTGTGACTGAAAGAGTTGTACCTTCACTACTAAATCCTGATATCTCAACACAGCTTAGGTGACTGCTAGTTTTTGTTCTTCTATGCTAATCAACATTCATATTTTATCTCCTATTCTGCATCAGTCTATGGCAGGCACTGTGAATACAAAAACAAATTGAGAAATAGCGTGGTCCCTTTTGGGGTTCCATTCAAAAAGGAGACTGAAGCAATATTGACTGAAGTTAATGCTATGGAGGGTCCAAGTACTGAGGGATTTCAGAGCACATTACAGGGCACCAGATATTCTTGAAAACCCTTTAGTATGGGACCAAAAAAAATCTGATTATAATTAATCAATTTAGACACTGCTAAAGCTGTGTTTGCTCGAGCAGGCCCAGTAACGTCTCCATTGGAGACTTTGTTGTTACTGTGTCAGCTGTGTTAAAATCATATAATATTTATTCATAACAAGCAGTACAAAATAAATTATTTTAGGTCCTGTTTGGGGGATAGGCATTGAGGTTCAGGGTAGAAAAATTCGAAATACAGTGGTGGGAAGGTGTAATGGTGGTGGGATTGGTGTTGAAATATTAAATGTAATGAATTATTGTCAACAATTTTACAAAAAAAAAATTTTAAATCATGTAATATAAGATCTGGTGTGGCACAGAGGGAATCCAATCCCCAAATAGGCTAATGAATCCATGTAAGGTAAGAGTTATAGCTAGGAATCAAATTTGTTCTGCTGGGAAGTTACTGCTAAATGTCTTTCTTTTTCTCTTTTTTGTAAGAAAATTTCAGATGCCTTTGTTTCATGAGTTTAATTATATTTTAATTAGACAAATATTTTTACACATGGACTTCGTGCACGACAATGATGTCCTAACACGTCATCAGTACATTAGACTTGGCAGTGAGTTGCTGGTGAATGTATTCACATACATCCACAGTCTCATTTAGCTTGCCTGATCTCAATGGAAGGAACAGATAAGGTCTGACTGTGAACAAGAGCAACTTTGAGAAACGTTGTTATTCTAATTGCAGTTCCACTCAACAACTAAGGAATGCATCTAAAGACTACAGTAAAAGCCTCAAAGTGAAACATTTTCAGCAGCTGTGGTAGTCGTCCTTAAAATTTCATAACTATGGCATTTTCTTTTTCTTTTTTTTTTCTTTCCTTCCATTCCTAGTTGTTATACTCGGGATGCTTAAAGACTGTGATTCAACAAGAGTTCATTACATCAAAACGTAAATACTTGAGAAACCATAATTTTTAAGTTTTTCATTTGTTCGGCTCTTGATGGCAATGGCTTCATCCTGCAGAGTACATGCCGTGACAGGGGAGAGAAATCATGGCATGTACAATGAATTTCCGAGCTCTTGAACGACAGTTATTAATCCGCCAGTCTGCACATCTACATTTCCTCAAACAAAATCAGTTCTTCCTTATCTTTCAAATCTTACCCCAAGGAAGGTTGCTATGGGCACCACATAACATCCATTCTGGCGCCAACAGATTGCATTTAAGTCACCCACAATCTCTCCAAATTATAACTCACCGAATTCACTGTACGCCCTGGAGGATGCTCTTTTATTTGTCCCCTCCTCCCCTCCGTCTCTCCCCCCTACCCCCCCAGTCCCGTTTAATTCTTTAAAAAAAGAGTATTTTTAGGGGCACATTGAACTAAAGCATCTTCCTCTGAGCAGACCATCTCCAAATGGCCGCCCGGGGTCCTAAATCCCGCAGCTACGGACAGGGACAAGAAGGTGTCCTCTGCTGCAGAGTCGCGGGACTGGGCGTCAGACAGCAGAGGGGGACAGGGCATCCTCCGGGGACAGGTAGAAGGCGGCGCCGGGCGCATCCGAGCTGGCCCCCAGTTGCTGCGGCGCGGGCAGCCCCTCGGGCGGGCACGGGGCTGGGCGCGCGCGCGCGCGGGGTCGCGGGACGCAAGTTGAATTTCCGCGTCCCGGCGCTCCGTCCGCAGCCTGGGCGACCCGAGGCCGCCGGGGACCGGAGACGCGGACTCAGTCGCCGCCCGCCACCCGGGCCACCGGAGCCGTGGCACTGCGCCCCGAGCCCGGCCCCCGCCACCCCGCGCGCCCCGCCTCGCCCTCTCGGCTCCGGGGAGCTCCGCGCCCGGGCACGCACGCAGGCCACCTTCGGGGCGGCGACGACCCCGGGAGCGGGTGGGTGGCCGGGACAAACTTCCCGCTTCTTGCCGGGATCCCCTCGGACCCGAGCCGGCTCGTCCGGGCACCGGCCGGCACTGACGCCCTCGCCCGAGCCGCCGCCGCCGCTCGCGTCCCCGAGCCCGAGCCCGGGCGCAGAGCGCTCCCGGCGCAGCCGCTCCAACAAAGCGGCGGCGGCGGGCGAGCCGGAGAGGGGCTGCAAGAGGCTGCGACCGGAGCACCCGGGTCCCGCCGAGCTGCCCCGGCTCCCGGCCGGCCGCGGGCAGCAGCCAGCGCCCCGGGAAGAAAGTGTCCCGCGGCCGGCGCCCACCCTCCTCCGGCCCCGCCGCCCCCGGCCCGAGCGCGTCCCGCTGTCCCGGTGGGAGTTGGCGGAGCCCCGGCAGGGGAAGGGAGCGCCCGAGGCGGGGTGGGGGGGTGGGGATGGGGGAGCGCGCAGGAGACCCCCTCAAGGGCCGAGTCGTCCCCTTACCTCTGTCCAGAGTGAGCGGCTGGACCACTGTCAGTGTCGCCATGTCTGCCGTGGGAGCCGAAGTGACGCTCGGCTTCAGCATCAGCCGGCGCTGGGAGTGAGAAAAAGAGGAGGAGATGGGGGCGGGCGGCGGCGGGGAAGGGGGGAGGCGGGAGGCGGCGCGGGGAAGCGAGCGCGGGTGGGTTTGGCAGCCAGATGGAGCCGCGACTGCTCCGCGCCCCGCAGACCGTCAGCGGCGGCGGCGGGAGGCTGAGCAGGTAGCGGGAGGGGGGGGGCGGGGGGGGGCGGGGAGCGGCGGGAGCCCCCAGGGCCCGCGCCCGCGCCCGACCCGCTCGGGCCGGGCACCCCAGCAGCGCCCGGCGGGAGGCGCCCGCTCGCACCGCTGCCTTCGGGGAACTTTGCGCTCAGGAAAGGGTCCGAGTGACCGTGGGTCTGGGACGTGGGAGAAGGCTGGAAGGGGAGCAGAGGCGAGAGGGTGGGGGAGCGGGAAGGGGTCGAAAGAGGATCGCCCTCCCCCCACCCCGCCACCCCACTCACCCCGCCGCCCCCATGTCAAAGAGATGCTCAACTCGCTGACCCCATCCCCGTTTAGAGAGCAAATGCTGCCCGGGTCCGAGACGCTCGGCTTTCCATGGTTGATGCTGTGAATGTCTGTTAATGGTCTTTGGAATGTTGACTTTGAGCAGTGCACAAGGTAACGGCCTCAAGACCGAGGTTCTATGAAGGAATCACAGAAGTGGTCCCTTCATTTGTAGTCAATAGTAGTTTGTTTTTTTTTATTTTTTTGGAATCGATTTTTTTTCGATCTGCCAAATGGACTTAGAACTTTTCCAACAGGATTTCTAACCAGTGGTAACTCAGGCTTAACCACGAACAAGCCTGCTGGAAATGGGGAGGTGTCCCGGCCTGATTTAGGGGTGCAGTCTGGTTCCTTCCTGTGGTCTGTAATGTAGTGGGAGATGATTTTATTAAAAGGGTGACTTTGGGGTCACTGTCTCAAGATTAAGTCACTAGAACCTTCAGCTACTGGCTGTGGCCCCAATGTTTATTACCTTGTTCATTACAATATTTATTACACTTTTGCCTTTCTCCACTGTAGGAATTCGTTTCCTGATCAAGAAATTAAATAGAAAAACCTGTGTTTTTAATAGACAGGATTCAAAGTACAAGCAGAATGGCAATGCCTCTGAAATTAGGGTAGGAAATGATATCGACTGCCCCTTGACAACAGAATTGTTTCAACTCTAATATTTTAAAGAAAGATACTGTTTTATAATAAAATGTTTGCATGCACTTATGTTATAGTCTTCTATTATGATATAGATGGTCCCTGGAGATCTTTAAATCCTATGGTCTTCAGTTTTAAAGAGGCAGGCTTTCACTAAATGATTGACAATGTCAAAGTTCATTGGCTGGCCCCGAAGACATACCTTAGATGGTTGAATCTATCTACACTTTTTTGTGGTTTTTGAATAAATCCTGATCTTAAAATTCAAGTGTTATTTATGTAACACTTCATCAGAAATCACATACTCTCAAAGGAGAGTTTTAATAACCTTCAATCTCACTGATATTCTAGAAAATGAAGGAGTTTATTCTACTCTGCAATCTAATTGAGTTTGGTGAGGGCCTGATGTGATCATCAATGTGCTGTGTGAACAAATACACAGACTCATTCATACAACTTAGACCTGAACACTGTGTGGCAAACATTGTCCTAAACCTCGGCCTTGCAATGATTAATAAGACCCTGCTCTTCCCGGACAAGGCTCTTTGCTCAGTGTGGTTTGGGAGACAGATAATGAACAAGCTATGAAAATAATGTGAAGTAGTTACACAGAAGTACCACAAGAAGGAAGTTCTGTGGGAAAGAGGAGGAAACAACATTTTTGGTTATAATCTTTCATGTTATATCATATCCCCTAAATCAAAGAACGACAAGCAATTGATCTGTATATATACAATAGCATTAATGTCCTAAGGTATTTTACAATGTAGCAAGCCTTATTCGTTTATTGACTATGAATAAGAACATTCACAAATCTCTTGACTACCAATGTAGTTCTCCTAATAGTACACAGTATTATGAATATGCATATTAATGTCTTGATTTGTAAGTCAAAATGCCATTGTTGTATCTCTATCAATACAAATCCCAGGTTATGAGGTCTGTGAAGAAGGCTTTTTGTCGTTTTGTTTTCTGATACAATCCAAGCACCAAATATTTAACAGCATGTTTCTGGATCTTTATTTTGTCCTCCCTAAGTGTAAATGTGTCCTATCATTCTCTCTGTGTATCTCTGCATTGACTTAGTAAGGATTAAAGGAGAAAGTAAAAGGAAACATAAATCATCTTTATCAACAGCTACTATTTCTAACAGGGGCAACTTAAATGTTTACATAGGTATAAAGAGAAATTATTTCATGGTGTGTTAGAATTTATTTTATGAAGCATAAATAATTATTGTCTCTTGAATGAAATTTATGACCATTTGAGACATGTAGAGACATAAAGAAAATTTTATTGATCTCTTCTTTTCCTTTGATAACTGTATCTGTACTGTCTCAAGATCATTTGAATCACTGCTACAGGGAAGTATCGAGGACAATATCCTTGATCTACTCATACACATACTACTTTATTGATTGTGTGTTATTATGGGAAATGTTAAAGAAACCATAATTATATTATTATCTCATCGAATTGATCACAAAACTACCACAATGTTTAAGTTAACTGTTACATAGCTAATGCATTTAGTGGGTAATGTATTTTCAGTGAAATTCTATAATAATACTTGTTGGGCAATTTCAGTGTCTCAGTTTTGTTGCCAGACTGGTTTCTCGCTCCTCTTTTCTTTCAGCATGGAAAAACCAATTGTGCTATTTGCCCATTTTATAGATAAGTAACCTGAGTCTCAGAAAGGGTAAGCAAATTATAGGAATAGTAAGTGCATATGGAGTTTAGAGCTCCTGAACTTCCCACTAACAACCCTACACTTCATTATGTATTATTGACTATTTGGAGCCTTTGGCCTTTCATTTCAGATGTATCCAAGTCTTTTCTTGATTTTGCTTTAGATATATACAAAAAGAGGAATGAATGGTGGTTGTTTAGTTAAAAAGATAGAAAAATATGATACCTATCCCATTCTATGTAAACATTGGTTGCTATTTTAAAGATCTGCTTTATAAAATCTGTTCTTTTTGAAAATAAAGTATTCTAAGATTTCATTGTTTGGTTTTGTTTTTTGAACCACACTCAGCTGTGCCTCAGTCTTACTCCTGGCTCTGTCCACAGAGATCACTCCTGGTGGTGCTTGGGAGACCAGGCACCAGATGTGGTGCTGGGTATCAAACTGAAGATGACCCTGTGCAAGCTAAGTACCTTACCGATTGGACTCTTTCTCTGGCTCCCAAGATTATTCAAAGTTTAGTTCAGGACTGTTTCACTTAATTCAATCAATCTTTAAAATTCGCTGAAAAATCAAGAGATTTTCATAAAGCATTGGCATACCATGACAATGTGTTTAGTTAGATTATAATTGGAGTATAATAAGCACAGTTTCATGTGAGGAAAATAGCACCTTCACACTGGAATTCTTTCAGCCATGGGTGTTCAAATTTTTTTCTTTGTATTTTTTCAAGATAACAAATTATCTTCCTTAATTCTCATAGCTTGTCAAAATAGCACTAGACTAAGATGAAGTGCCAACCTATACTTTGGAATCTAAATGTTTGTAGGTTTTTTATAATTATCATATATTGAGACTCTTACTACATTTATTTTATCTTATGATTTATTTTGACAGCTACTTATTTGTCTATTTGTTCAATAAATACTTGGTGGATTTACTGTATGTCATGCACTGTTCTAAGTAATAGGATGTTTAAATCAACAAGAAAAATCTGGTTTTGTTTGGTATATATTGTACAAAGAAAAGAAGAATTACTTTTTTTTAAAAAACTATGAACAAGGAGATTAGTTCATTACTCACTACTGTGCAAAGCATACATAATTTGGTGATTGGATTGGGTCTAGAATAATGTCAAGAATACAAAACATAATGATCTTACCATGGTGGGAAAATGTTGACAGATGATTTGAGGTGGGAACCCCAAGAGAATGGTGGAGGGAAACAGACACTGGTGTAAGGTGTGGTGTTAGAATGTCATATGCATGAAACCCTTCATGCATTATCATAAATTACGATTTTTAAGACAGGAATTTTGGAGAAGGACATTCTGAGGAAAGAGAAGTAAAACCAGGGATGGAAGAAAGAGAGAATGTTTAGGTTTAAAAAAAAAAAGCAGTTTAATTTGGAGTATAACAAACCTGAAAGGACCATTGTGAATTAGATTATGAAAGATAATATAATTAACAGAAATGTAATAAACCATTCATGAATTTTTTTGTGCCATCATGCAATGAAATTTATAAATATAATCCCTGGACTAAGAAAAAAGTGAGCTGAGTATCTACATTACTAATTCAGAGGTGGACATTAGAAAATTAAAGATGGAATAAAAAGGTCATTTCTAATTACCTTTAATTTCAAAGAAATGAAAACCTTTGAGTAAAGGAAATTTGAAATCTGAATAATTATTTCTCAGTTGTAGTCTTAGCACTATTTTATATTACTAACAGCCACCATGCAAGTCGTAAGTATAATAATTGCCTTTTGTTCTGATTCCATAATAGGCAATAACACATATAGTAAGTATAAAAGTCTGATTCTAGGGTGTTTTATTTATTTCTATTTAATGCATAGAATATAAAATGCTATTTTTGTTTCATTTTGAGATGAACATTTTTCTGTTTTCACAGTTGGAAACGATGATTGATCTTTTTATAATGAAATCTAAATTCAAAGCTTGCAATTCTCTTTTATTTATGCATCCCAAGCTCATATCTATACTATTGGGAATGCCTAGGAGATATAAAAGAAACAAGATAAAATAATTTTTAAAAGTGATACTGGACTCACTTTTTTCTTGTATCAATGCAGGAGAAATTTCAAAACTTTTAGGACACCTAATATACGAGGGATTTTTTAAAATGTTTTTCTTAAAGCTGCATCTTTGAATTTTTGATACACTAATTCTGAGCCAAAACTATTC